TGGGGAGCTTGCTCATCTCTACCCACTCTTCCTATTGTACACAGTAAGTACGCACTAATGTCCATCTATGAAGGATATCTATGGTGGTCCATTGTATATGGCTTGGACAGGTGAGGCAAAAGTGCTCAGAGGTGATAAAGACCCCTATACTTGGCTGAAGGGCTGTTGGAAGAAGCAATGGGAACATCTTTATCTTTTCCTTCTTTTTTCTTGTGTGCCAGTACTGGAGCTTGAACTTAGGGCCTTGTGCTCTTACTTGGCTTTTCCTCCTCACATCTGGTGCTCTACCTCTTGAACCACCCCACCCTTTGTGAGTAGCATCTTCTGTTGTGTCAGTCCTAAGGCAACAACTAGATCCGGGCTTCAGAAAGTGTCCAGGCCAGCCCTAGGGCCACCAGAAAGAGCCATCAAAGTAAGAACAGAGTCTGCAGTGGGGGAGAGTCAATGCCCTCTGATCTCACTGAAGCAGCCACTGGAGGGACTGGCCATGCATCCAGGGAGGGCTTCCTAGAGGAAGATCTACTTCTTAGGAGCAAGGAAGAAAGTAGAAATGAGTCCAATTGGAGAAAGTGATGTGGAACAATGACGTAGAGGGAAAAGCTCTGTCTCCTCTTGTCCTTTACCTCTAGGAGGTCTAGGTCAGGTAGGTTGGGGCGAGTTAAGAGGAGCCTATCAGGCAAAGAGGAATGGAGGCTATATCAAGGCAGACACCCTGGCCAGGGCGGGTTTGCTTGTCGGACTGGCAGGGAGCAGCTCCCCAGCTGTGGCTGGGAAGTGTTTCCTGTCTCTTTGCCAGGGGGGTCATTAATAATCATTTACCCGCCACAGGCAGCACAGAGGCCAGCCAGAGAGCAGCATGGTGCTGGAGCCAGAGCTCAGCCTGGCAGCCAGGAGAGATGGACAACAGTACTGGCTCCACTACCTTGCTGTGTGACCTGGACCAGCCACCTAACTTCTCTTGGCTTCTGGGAATGTTGGTTAGAGGAGGATCTGATGAGAATGCGTCTTAGGTCCCCATCAATTTCTCTAGATGGCACTTGAGCTGCCAACCCTCTAAAGCAGTTATAAACATCAGATGACCATGCCAGGCCAACTTCAGAACACAGGGATGGGGCGAGGCAGGGCCAGATCCGGTCTCTGCAGAGCTCCTATTCTGGTAGGAGCCAGATGACCCCAATGGAGTACAGACATGAAACCCAGTAGAATTGTGTGCAGTTTATGCTAGGGGAAGTACTGAGGGAGCAGCCAGCTGCCTCAGGATGCCCATGAGAGAGCACAGGAGATCAACTTGGTCACCACAATGACCCCCAGCACGTAAATCATTCCTGGAGCAAGGGCTCTGTAGCAGCTCTTAGACCTTGGAAATTAGAAAGAATATCCAAAGAGGAAGAAGAGGGCAACAATGGTGACGATTCTGCCCAAAGACCATGGGATGGGGAAAAAAAATGACTTGACAGTCTGAGAAGGCTGAAATCCAGGGATGGTCAGCCAAAGCCAGACAATGCTGACGGCTCCAAGGTCCCGTCTCCAGTTGCTCAGGTAGCTCTTACCTCCCCAGGCTGTATTTGCCTGTGTAATCTACATTCCCTCCAAGGCTCAGCCCAAGCCCACTCATTTCCAACAACCTTCTGGAAAACCGTACTGACGCCTTCACTGACTGCATCCATGCCTCCAACTTTGAGTTCTGGGCTTTTATGCTCTCAAACAATTGCCCAGAGCCTGTCAGGGTTTTCCCACAACTTTCTCTGGACAGTATGACCTAGGGACACCTGATGTCTCCACCTACTTGACTACAGGCTCCCCAAAAATAACCAGACCCCCCCACCCTTTCATAGAAGGGTCTCTGCCAAGACAAGGACTATTTCTCCTCCTTTATTTTTATTTTTTATTTGTGTGCCCATCCTGGGGCTTAAACTTAGGACCTGAGCCCTGTCCCTGAGCTTCTCTGCTCAAGGCTAGTGCTCTACAACTTGAGCCACAACTTTTTTGGTAATTAATTGGAGGTAAGTGTCTCATGAGCTTTCCTGCCTCAGCTGACTTCAAATTGTGATCCTCCAATCTCAGCCTCCTGAGTAGCTAGGATTACAGATGTGAGCCATCAGCTCCCAGCTCCCCTCTTTTTATGTAGGGTCAACCATAGTTGCTCTAGACTGAGATCTTCTTGGTGGTTCCTCAGCCCAAGGACACGGAGAAGGGAAGAGGAGAGAGGAGCTTGAAGGAGGGGATACTTGGCTGCTAAGCACCCTAAAATAATTTAAGCCAGAAAGGCAGTGAGCTCCCCATGGGATAAAAAGCACGTGGTTGGCAGATTTACTCAACTCCAATCCCAGCACAACTCTGGCACTGGTGCCTCCTAGGACACCACTGGCTATGGGGCCTCATGTCCCACACCCAGCCCTGCCCTCCTGCGGAACACAGGGAGTGGGTAGTAAACACAGTGACCTTGCTGACACGTGCATCCTCTCCCCACCCCTTCCAAGCCCTGGGCCCAAATATGGGACAAGTTAAGAGGAAAAGAACAAAGGTTCCTGGACCACGCCATTGCCTGCCGCCCGCCTGTCCAGCGACTGTTCAGCCGGAAACCCAAGACAAAGGCTTTGGTCAAAGTGAAGAGGATGAAGGGCAAAGGGTAGGGCAGCCAGGGGTTGGGGGGGGGGGGCAGCCAAAGGTATCTCTAGGGACCTGATTGGGAGGGAAGCAAGGACACGTCACTCCACAAACATTTATGAGGCACCTGCTGTGTATTCTGCACACAGGCAAACATAACATGCCTTATGCACATACTCTCTCTTACCCACTACAGCACGTTCTACATTCCCACCCCTGCACGCCCCTTTGGCTCACTGGACATGCCTCACACATTCCTTATCACACACCCTGACAGCTCACAGGGAGAAAAGATCACAGAATCTACCCCTCCCACTGAAAAATCACACGGCTTCCACACCCACACTCCACATTCACACTCGACCTCATCCTCACCTCCTTAACCAGAGACACATGCATTCAATTAACTTCAACACACACACACACACACCACCCAGACATGGAGACACCCTGCATAAATAATGGACACATCTAATATCACATGTTTGTGTGCACACTGAACCCCTTAGCACAGATGACCCTGCCCTTACACCCTCCCCTCCTACCCTTCCTAACACCTGCTGAACTGCACCCCTCAGCCCTGGTGACACCCTTTCCTGTCCAGAGTCACTACCCAGACACATGATAAACACCAACACAAAGACCCTAAAATATTCCCAAGCCAACCCAGGACTGCAAGCCGTCCAGTAGGCCGTAAACACACCTGGACATACACAAACCCCACCTTCTCTCTGACAAAACAGCTAATAAAACCTGTACCAGGCCCTATCAGGTTTCTCTTCCTGGCTACACACAGCAACCAATAACATATACATCCACACATATAATTCTTTCCCATACAGCCCTTATAACAACTCCATCCTGTAATGATAGATATGAAATCTCTCTCTCTCTCCTCTCTCTCTCCCTCTCTCTCTCTCTCTCTCTCTCTCTCTCTCTCTCTCTCTCTCACACACACACACACACACACACACACACACACACACACTTCAATCATATACCCAGTTGCAACTCCACAAGTGCCTCCCTAGGCCACACACAGCATGCAACACCATAGACTCACAATCTCCATACCTACTATAACCCCCCCCCACCATGAACAATCCCATTCATGATGATATGGTCATTTATGGTACATATACATGTAACACATACTCAATACATGCAAATAAACTCATACTCAGACAAATACACATAGCCCAGACTTACTGGCCCTAGACAGAACCCACAAGAGGTGACAGACACCTGTCCCCCCAATTCCCAAATTCCAACCACCTCAATCACTACTGGGAAAGCAGGGATGAAGGGGTTCAAGTTACAGCTACCATTTCATATCACATGATGCCCACCCACTGGTACCCTGGGTACCAGCCAAGGTAGCCCACTCCATGTTTAGGCTCTTGGAACTGAGCCCATACCATGCCATGCCTAAAAATCATGGAAAGGGGTAGAGTCCTGGGAACACTAGCCATGGCCTTTGAGCCTGTCCCTTCCTCATCCTGAAGCAGAGGCAGATATAAAGGTAAGGATGACCATAGAGAGAGACCACAGAAAAGAGATAGAGAGCTGGAGAAACTGGAGCAATGAACAGACAGAGGTGAGCAACACAGGGCCACACAAAAGAGACCACAAAAAGGAGAGAAGTAGGGGACAGAGAGTAAACCCAAGAGTTGGAGGAAAAACCCAGAGAATAAAGTGGGACTGCCACACCCAAAAAGAAATAAGAGGAGTGGGCGACCAGGAGAAAAAGACTAGGGTGTCTCCTTTCCAGGAGAGAGGGAAGGGAGCTGGACAAGGGTCTTGTAGAGGAGGAAGAAGTTGGGCAGGAGAAGGGGTATGGACCTTTGGGTAGGTGGGAACTGAGTGAAGTCTAGGTAGTTGCGTGGGAACCTGCATGAGGGCACAGAGGAGGCTGTGGAAGGAAGGTTCTGGGTCTTGGGATGAAGCCCTAACCGAAGTGTGGTGCAAAAGGTCAGGGAGTGCCTAGGGTCTGACACCAAGTTTGGGAAACTGAGCTGGGAGGAAGGGGTCCCAGGCTTGAACAGAGCTCTCGGTGTGGATTCGGAGTTTAGAGCTTGGGATGCAGACAGGATTCCGAGTCGAGGGTGGCATTTGGGCTGCGATCTGGAGGTTCAAGGACTCCTTCCGGGAATGGGAAGCAGTCCCAGTGCAAGAGTAGGGTCTAGAACTAGGGGAGAGGGGGGGGAGGGTCCATCCCTGAAGACGATGCAAGGGGTTCAGGGGAGGGAGGCTCACGAAGCCCAGCGGCTGCGTGCTGCGCAGAGGTCTTGGCCCTAGCTGAATGCCCGCTCCGGATGCCCCGTTCTCCCGGTGCCCTGAAGGCGGGGGGTGGGGGGGTAGGGGTACAGGGGTGGCGTGGGGGGGTCTCCTACCTGCAGGTTGTCGGTGCATGGCTGCGGCGGCGGCGGCTCGTCGGGTTTGAGGAAGACCTGCTGGCCCCGCCTGAGGAATTGGACAACAGCGATGAGGATGTGGTGCAGGACCAAGACCATGCTCGCAGACGCCCGCCCGCCTGTCCGCCGGCCCGGGCCGCTGCGCTCGCTCGCTCGGTCAGCGCGTCCGCAACAGCTTCGGCGGCGGGTCCGCCGGAGAGTCCGCCCCGGCCCCGCCCCCAGCCGCCAGGCCCCGCCCCGCGCACCCCGGCCCCGCCCCTGGCCACCCGGGCTCCGCCCACTCCCTCGACTCCAGGGTCGGCACCTCGCAGCTGTCAGATCTTCGGACCCCACCAGACACCCCCCCCCCCCACACACACACCGGCCCACTCTCCCCTCCCAGGACAATTCCATCTTCCAGCCTGTCCGCTGTGAGGGTCCCCGCCTGGGAGCTGTCCCCCGGGCTCCGTTGCCCGCCCCCTGCCCCGTCGTCCCTCCTCTCGCTGTCTCGCGGGGATCGCCTCCCCGGAGCCCCCCGTCCCTGTCTGACCACATCCTCTTCCCACTACTCTGTGACCTGGGCCCCGGCCAGAGCCCGGAGGCTCCGCAGTGCGGGGGATGGAGGGTGGAGATGGGAAGGGGGGGTGAAGGGAGCCGGGGACAGGGGCCTCGGACCCTGTATAGGACCCCCGATTTTCCCTCCCTCTCCCCCCAGTCCAGAAGGTAGGGAGAATCTTAGAGGTCGCTCCAGGAGGGACAAGCCCTGAAGCAGGAGCGAATCTGCTTGGGCAGACACGTGCGCCCCACACGCGCTGTTCCTAAGTGTGGGGTGCAGGTACTGGGTCCCCAGAACTTGCAGGCCGGGCTGCATCGGCGTCCCAGGAGGCCGGAGAAGGTACGAGCCCGGGTCGCACGGTCTGCTGGTCCGCGGGGGGACCCGCGCGCCCCGGAGCGCTGTTCTCCGCAGAGCGGCCTCGGCGCTCGGACGCCGGCTGCAGCCGTGACGCTCCCGCGCCCCCTGGTGTCGCATCGCGGCCGAGCAGCCCGGCCCCAATTGCTGTGGACTGGTGTGGTGAAGGGGCGATGGCTGGGTGTAACCCCGGTGACCTCCATGCCCTCGACCGTCAGTTTCCTCCAACCTTGAGTTTCCAGGCGATGGGCCCTGACTAGAGTGCCGCAGGAGCTTAGTAGATCTAGCCTGGCTTTGGCCAGCGACTTGCTGCATGACCTTGGTCAGATCCCCTCTAGACCTGTCAAGGGTCTTCGTTTTCATTTCAGCTCACAAGACTGCCAAGGAGGCTCAAACTCGGAGTGGTGGGGAAACAGACAGGGAACCCTAATAGCCCTTCCTAAAGTGTGACCTGAATTCTGCCCTCTGCCCAGCCCCCTGCCCATTCAACGCCTCCCACCCCCCAGCCCTTGGAAGGTGACTCAGTAAGCCCCCAGCCTCTCCACCCCACTGGGGTGATTCATCTGGGTCTTCTCCCCCTGGGGAGCAATTTCCTCATTGTTGAGTCACTGAGCCCAGTCCTGGACAAAATCCAGGAACCTGGCACAAGCCTTGGCAGCAGGGCTGTCCCACTAGCTCATGGAGTGACCTTCCATGTCCACCCTCCTTTCTAAGGTATGCCTTTTCCTCTGCTCCCTGTGCCTTCAGTGGCTACCTGCTGCTAGCACAGAAAGCCCAAACTCCAATCCAACTGGACCTGTGAGGCCTTCTGCAACTCAACCCCTGCTTGTTCATCCTGTCCTGACCCTCCTCTCATCATTCCTTACAGTTACAATTTTCTCTCTGCTCATCTCAGTGACTGCCTCATTTTCACTCCTAGGCCTTAGTGAGTGCCACCCAATCGCCAATCCCCTCTGTTGTCTTTTCAGTCTGCTTATCAATCAGGGGCCAACTGGAGCGCTTTTGAATCATTCCTGGGAGTCAGGCCTGAGGATTTGGGGAGAGCTGAAGTAGAAGTGATCTGGGTCAAGTGAAGGTATTTTGCTGCATCTTCAAAATAGGGCAATTTGCCCTAGTTATTAGCACTGAAAAAAGTGTTCCATGAGAAAAGATATGCAAAGGTTCTGTTCCCCCCTAAAACAGGTCTCCATGACATTCTTGGTTCTCAGTTTCATCCTCTTGAGAAGAATCTGGTCAATTCCAGGGCTATTGCTTGAGGCATTAGGGCAGACTAAGGCTGAGTTCCACCAGATGCACCAATCTCTTTGCAAGTCCTGAGCATGTGTCGCTGGCTCAGTCCTGGGCCTTGAATAGCCTGCATGAGACACACGTGCCCAGGAGGTATTTATCTGGTCACTGGCCAGCCTCCCGTTCTTGAGAAGAAGCCCTTTCAGCCCTAAACTCAAGAGCCAACCCTGGCCTGGCACAGCTACAGCTCCTGGGTTCAGGGTTTCTTCAGCATTTGTCTCTTCAGAAGTTATTTACTAAATTTACTTGAGTCTCTCATGCTGCAGTTCAGTGGCTGGATTCCCAGGTGCAGGCTGTATGTCAACCTCAACTCAGATTCTTTCTGGGTCATATTTTCAGATTCAAGCATTCCTCAGAGAGTTTGAGTCCTAACTGTGTCATAGATTTGCTATGTGATTTTGAGCAGGCCATTGTATCTCTCTGAGTCTTGATGGCCTCATCTGTGAAAGGTTAGCACTCTAGATTCAATAAGCAAGCAAGTGCACTGCTTTTCATGGTTGGTGGAAAGCACCTCCTTGTTCTTAAACAACCCCTCATAGCATTCTTGAACCCCTCCCCTAAGTAGGGACAAGCAAGGCTCCTCCAGGTTGACAGTCACAGGCCTTCCCAAGCTCTCGCATCTAGAAAATGACTCTTTCTAAGGCTGGATTCCACTCCCAGGAGATCCCTGCCTTTGCTCCAAGTCCATATGCTGTGATCCTATCTTGTTTCTCCCTGGCTCATATTTGAATCATTGGGGGTGTTTAAGATTGCTGAGACCTGAAACTCTCATCCCAGATATATTTTATAATGTGGTTCTAATTCGCTGCCTGGTGTGAAAGCTCTGGATTAGACATCTCTCATCCCTGTCTGACCTTCATCCCAGGGAGGAAGCGTGAGGGCTGGCCCCTGATGGCTGACTGCAGCCACCTGAGGCTGGCAGGATTTAATATTTATTCAACACTTAAGAACCTTTGTTGAACTGGACTAGGATGTAGCTCAGTGGTGAAGTGCTTTTCTAGCAAGTGCACATCCTGGGTTCAATCCCCACTACTGAAAAAGAAAAGATAAAAAAATCCGGTTTAAAAATAAAAATTATTGCCAGGCGCCAGGGCTCACACCTGTAATCCTAGTTCCTCAGAAGGCTGGGATCTGAGGATTACAGACCAAAGCCAGCTGGGCAGGAAAGCCCGTGAGACTCTTATCTCCAATGAACCACCAGAAAACCAAAAGTGGCACTATGGCTCAAAGTGGTAGAGCACTAGCCATAAGTGAAAATAGCTCAGTGACAGCACTCAGATCCTGGTTGAAGCCCCATGACTGATGGGGGGAAAAAAAGAACCTTTGTTGAACACCTTATGTTTCATGTTGTCCCTTCCTTCCTTCCCTTCCTCCCTCCTTCCCTCCATTCCTTCCTTCCTTCCTTCCTTCCTTCCTTCCTTCCTTCCTTCCTTCCTTCCTTCCTTCCTTCCTTCCTTCCTTCCTTTCCTTCCTTCCTTCCTTCTTTCCTTCCTTCCTTTCTTCCTTCCTTCCTTCCTTCCTTCCTTCCTTCCTTCCTTCCTTCCTTCCTCCCGCCCTCCCTCCCTCCCATCCTTCCTCCCTTCCTTCCTTCCTTGCTGATCCTGAAGCTTGAACTCAAGACCTCATGCTTTCATTGGGCTTTTTTTTTTTTCACTCAAATGTGGAGTTCTGGGTGATATGTCCAAAAAGAAATGTACGTTTTGAGCTGGGAAGGTCTCAGTGGTAGAGTGCTTGCCTTGCATGCATGAGGCCCTGGGTTCGATGCCTCAGCACCACATAAGCAAAAAGAAAAAAGCCGGAAGTGGCACTGTGGCTCAAGTGGTAGAGCGCTAGCCTTGAGCTGAAGAGCTGAGAGACAGCGTCCAGGCCCAGAGTTCAGGCCCCATGACCGGACCAAAAAAAAAAAAAAAAGAAAGAAAGAAAGAAAGAAAAAGAAATGTATGCTTTGCCTGGCTTATGTTACTGTAACCTTTCTGTATATCACCTTTATAATAACAATAAAAAATTGTAAAAAAATCTGGAGTTCTACTATCTGAGTCACATTTCCACTATGGGCTTTTTGCTGGTTACTTGGAGATAAGAGTCTCACAGACTTTTCTGCTTCGGTTGGCTATAAACTGCCATCCTTAGATCTCAGCCTCCTGAGTATCAGGTTTACATGCTTGAGCCACCAGAGCCCAACTTGTTTACTTTTCAACAATGATACAAGGTAGGCCACATTTTATAGATGAGGAGGAATGAGGCACAGAGAGATTAAGTAACTTGCTCATTGTCACACAGCCAGTAAACACTGGAGCCAAAATTCAAACCCAGCTGACTGACTTAAATTCATGCCAGGCCACTTGATCAAAGGCAGGTAAGACTTGGACTTCCCCAGCTCTCTTTTGGTACCCATAAATTCATTGGCTGGGCGTCTTTCACCTCTCCCCAAGCCTGCACCCTCTGCCCATCTCTGGTATCAGGAAGCCTAGCCCCTGCTGTATCCTCAACCAGCTCAGTAATATCTGGCCCCTTCTTCCTGGGTGCCTACTTGGCCCTGGGTACTTCAGGAAGTTACTTTATCTCCATAGTCTGGACTACAGAGGTCCCAGCATCCTCTTTCAGGGCTCTGCATAGGATATGTTAGGAGCTTTCAGGAGGCAACCATCATCTCTGTGAGCCCTCTCCCTCCAGGACCCTGTGCTCCATATGCCAGCCCTGGACTGTGGCAGCAGCTCTGAGTTAGGAAGAGCATCATGAGTGAACTAGGCCTAGGAAGGAGCTGGTGTGGCATGTATCAGCCATGGGTCTTGCTCACTCATTATTTGTATCACTTTTGCCTTGGAAGCAGCAGCTAGGCAGCTCCATAACCCTTTGGGAGGAAGAAAAGCCATGAGATTCTAGGCCTGGGTGTGCTGGCTCACAGAGGGGACTGAGGTACAGGAGACACTGTAGACATTAGTACCTGCTCCCCATCACCTAGAAATTCCAAGATTGTTCCT